AAGCTGTGTAGTTACCATTAGTTCTTAAAGGAAACCACTAACATTTTGATTTTTGTACAGATTTTTTAACATACACATTCCTCTAGACTATTTCATAATTTTTAACTTATGTATATCTGTACTTTTCAATAAAACACATTGATAATTTTTTTTCATTTAAGAGCTTAAATATCTTTTCAAGTTAGTACATTGAGATCTACTTTGTTCTAAAACAACTGCATAGTATTCCATTAAATGGTTATAACATAATTTAATAGCCTACATATGTATACTTATAGTTTTACAAAGAACACCCTTGAACACACAGAAGATAGTTAATACTTTTTTTTTTTTTTTTTCCCCTTGAGACAGTGTCTCACTGTGTTGCTCCAGCTGGTCTCAAATTCATAATCTCAAGCAATCCTCCTGCCTCAGCTGGGACTACAGGTATGTGCCATTGTGCCCACATAGTTATTAGTACTTTTGGAATAAATGCGTAAGTTGGGTTGAAGCATATCTTAAGGGATATCAAATTGCCCTTTTAAAAAAACCAAGGTAAGCCAGACGCGGGGGCGCACACCTGTAATCCCAGTGACTGAGGAGGCTGAGGCAGGAGGATTGTGAATTCAAAGCCAGCCTCAGCAACTTAGCAAGGCAATAAGCAACTGGCTAGTGGTTGAGCACCCTTGGGTTCAATGTTCAGTACAATAAAAAAAAACTGAGGTAAGTATATAAGTGCTCAAAGGTGTTCTGGAAAATAAGGATAAAGTTCTAAGCTAAACTGATTCAGCACTTCAGAGACAAATGGGGAAGAAAACAAATGAAAGTAAATGTCATTAAATGCACTTGAAAAGCAATGAAAAAACAGAATCAGCATATCTAACTATTATACTTTTGGTAGAAAAATAAACTTACTAAAGCTCTATATTTGAATCTATAAAAATTTCCCACTGAAAAGATTCAAATGTGCTCCCATGGTTAGACTACAGAGTAAAAAACATTGCTAAAAGCAGGGTGAATTACCTGGAGATGTTCCTCAGGCACAATAACTGGTCCACACTTTGTATGTGGTGCACATTCACCAGTACAGTATCTATGAGGATCATTTTCTTTCCGTAGGTATTGGTTTGTTGCACATTGTCTTTGGTACATTTATATATGAAAGTTTAAATACAAAAAAAAAATAATAAAAGTAAGAAAGAATAGTTCACAGCAGTTAAAAACAATGCAATAAACTAGTAAGTGCTATGTTACTTCACTAGTAACCTTATTAGGTTACTGTTTAAGTTACAAAAATAGGCTAATAAGGAATTCTAGTTCTGTGGGGAATCCCCTGATCTAGGTTTTCAAGTACCTAAATACTTTCATGAATTTAATACTGTGGCCATGTGAAGGAGAGATGAAGGGGGTTTGGGGAACAGAGGACCATACCACCCTTGGAGAAGATTATGTAGACTATCATTATGGAAAATTAGGGAAAGAATAATTATCCAGCAGGGGCTTTTTCATTCTTTTTATATATGTTGCAGTTTGGTCTGTAAGAACAATATAATAAAATATTCTAGTATAAATCTTATACATTGCCATGCTGGTAGAATGAGGAGTGCAGAGTACTAAATGAATGAAGAAAACAACCAGTGTTTAATGTTACCTACCTGCTAAGTAAGATAGTGCCAGCAGGTTTACGAACCTGAAAAGTCTTCTCTAAATAAGAAATAGCTTGCGGGAAAAGTTTGTTCTAAATAATAGGTAGAAGGAAAAAAAAACAATCAGAATTATAGTCAAGGGATAAATTATATTTAAATAAGTAAGCACAGTATATTAATGACTGAGAGGACAAGAAAGAAAAACCTTACAATTCTGGAATACAGATACTAGTCCAAGGTTGTGTGGCAGTGCGTAAGCAAAGAGTGAACCTAGGTGGAAAGAAATTTCCTTGTTCTCTAGTTGAATTTGGGAAAAGAGAACTAGGCAGAAACTTCTTTCCCTACTTCCATTTAAATAAAAAATTAGAAAATATAAATCTTAATTATTAATCCAGATAACTTCAAGTTTAAGACTGATTTAGACTCTCTCAGGGGCAGATTATGTTAAAAAAAAATCTTAGGTTTAAACTCACCAATTTCTCTATCCTATAGTGAATTGGTTTAATGTGTGTATGTGTGTATGACTTTCACATCAGTTAAAAATCTGATGAAGTTTGCATCTTTATAAACAACTTTGGCATATCACACTATCAGGTCAGTTAATCTTCAGAAGAATGAACATTCCCAGGGGCTGAGAATGTGGCTCAAGCGGTAGCACGCTGGCCTGGCATGTGCAGGGCGCTGGGTTCGATCCTCAGCACCACATAAAAATAAAATAAAGATGTTGTGTCCACCGAAAACTAAATATTAAAAAAAAAGAATGAACATTCCCACAAAGAGAAAGGTGTATTCAACGTTTTTCAAAAGTTGTCGTTTTCACCCTACCCCAGCATGCCTCGTTCCCAAAAACTTGAGCAAGAAGTACAAAAGGAGAAGACTGATTTAATATCAATTATAAAATAAGGCAACTAATTTCATGCCAAATACTGACAAAATCTCATTGAGGGTGTAACAAAAACTACTTGGTAAAATGATAAATATATTCACTACCAACATCTTTTATTTAATCATTCATAAAAGTCCTGGGTTTTTAAAAAAATTTTTATTTTTTAGTTTTATGTGGACACAATATCTTTATTTTAATTTTTATGTGGTACTGAGGATTGAAACCAGTTTCTTATGCATGCTAGGCAAGCGTTCTACCTGAGCCACAACCCCAGACCTTTTTTTTTTTTCTTGATTAAAGTAGAATTTATATATTTTATGGGAGAGTGGGGCAGGAGGACTGCAAATTGGAAGTCAGCAGCAACTTGGCAGTACCTTGTCTCGAAAAAATAAAAAGGGGTGGGGCATAGTTCAGTTGTAGCTTGCCCCCCGAGTTCAATTCCCAGGACTGGGGGAAAAAAAAAAAAAAAAAAAAAAATATATATATATATATATATATATACACACACACACACACACATATATATACACACACATATATACACACACACACACACACACATATATATATATATACATATACACACACATATAATTTTAAATGTCCTAATTCATAAGTATTTATTACATACCTTTACAAGGTATCTTTTCTCAGGGAGCAACCTGAAAATAATGACATAAAACATAAGAACTCCCACTCTTGAGGCAAAGCACTCTCATTTGTTCAGATTCCATCTGTCAAAGGCCCAAGGAACGCTGTGTGGAAACAGTATTTGTCTCCAAAAATCTCCCATTTACCACAGTGAGTATTTGAGGATCATTCTGTGCCAAACCACAGGGCTAAGTATGATCACATGTTATCTCATTCATCTGAGAATGTTAAGGATAGGGAAAGACAAACTACTTCTAATAGTTCTTCATAAACTACTATAGACTCATAATTCACCTGTTTTCTGATACCTCTTAGACTACATAAAATCTGTTTAATAATTTGGCAAACTTTCTTATTATAGTTTATGTTAGTATTTTCTCCAATTACTTATTGGCAAAAGTCTTCCTGATCTATTATTGATAACATCCAGGAAGATTCATATTTGTTCTGATTAAGGTTAATTTAATCATTTCCTATGGTCTTTGGCTTTTCAGCTAAAAACATCTTCTGCTTAATTCCATTTTTTATAAATACACATATATATATTTAGTTATAGATGGATTAAACACCTTTATTTTATTTATTTATTTTTATGCAGTGCTGAACCCAGTGCTCCACACATCCTAGGCAAATGCTCTACTACTGAACCACAACCCCAGCCCCTCCTTAATTCCATCTTAAAACTACACTAGTGTTTTTTAAAGTTTGAGCTATGGACTTTATTACTTCAGGCAACAGAAGAAAATATCTTTAATATTTAGATTAACAATAAAAAGATGACAAAATACTAGTGTACTTACTCTTCAATACTTTTATCATAGATAGTCTTAATTCTTAAGTGTTCATCAACATCTCTCTTTACAACATGACTTGTCTTAAGATGAACCTTATTTATGACCTAGAAAAAGAAATAGTTTTGAAAAACAATTTTTAGAAGATGTACATATTTTTCTTTATTGAGGTAGAATTTATATATAATAAAATATACTATTTTATTAGCTGAGATCAAAACTTAAAAATCAATAACCAAACTTCAAATTTATACTTAGTAAAAAAGTCCCTTAGCTCACACTCCATGATTTTGGGATTCATAACCTCAAATATCTCCCAAGCAACTTCTATCATCTGGAAGAATACTATGAACTTGCATCACATGAATAAATTGTTATGGTAATGCCAGCTGCCAAAAAGGTCTGGGTTTCTCTGCTGCTTATCTAGTTTCCTACTATATTTCTTACTGGAATTTTGTGTGTTCAGAAAATGATAGGAAGACACTAAAAGTATCTTAAATTACTCTAAAAAGAGGATAAAAACTTCCAAGTGTTTCACTTGGAATTTTTTCTCATTTCATAATTTCTTAAAGGGAGGAATAAAAGAGAAGAAAGGTCTCAGCAGTATCAAAACTTGATGCAACTCTTAGCCAGACATAGTGGTAAATGCCTGTGATCCCAGTGACTCAGGAGGCTGAGGCAGGAGGATTGCAAATTCAAGACCAGCCTCAGAAATGTAGTGAAACACAAAGCAAGTTAGCAAGACCCTGTCTCATAAAATAAAAAAATCAGAAATTTTTAAAAAAGGGCTTGGGGGGGCTGGGGATGTGGCTCAAGTGGTAGCGCGCTCGCCTGGCATGCGTGCAGCCCGGGTTCGATCCTCAGCACCACATACAAACAAAGATGTTGTGTCCACCGAAAAATAAATAAATAAATATTTAAAAAAAAAAAAAAAAGGGCTTGGGATGTGGTTCAGTGGTTAAGCAACCCTGGGTACAATCCCTGGCACCAAAGAATAAATAAATAAATAACTTAATGAAATTTTTTTTTTTTTTTTTTTTTTTTTTTAAAAAACAACTTTATTTAATATGAATAAAAATAGGTACAAATAACAGATTCTTCATAAAGAGCAGCAACAAACAAGATTCACTCTCCTTCTCTTTGTTCCTGAAAACAGGCCCCTTTTACCAGGCCCATTTTGTCTCATCCTGTCTTGGGGTAGGGGTTCATCTCTGTAGGAAGAAGACTTCTCTCAGGGGTTGGGGAAAAAAGAGGTAACCTTTCAGTATGGAGATAACTTTGGCTTTGAACAATGAATGCAGTGCCCATGGAATGCCAAAGGGGAGGGCTGAAAAGGGGCAGATTCACAGTGGGGTCCCTCTCCTATATATATAATTTTTTTTTTTTTTAATAATCTTTCAATCCCTACCAAGGAAGACATTGGTCAAAACACTGACCCCTATCATGACCTGCCCACTCCGAACTCGCAAACTTCCTAGGAGAGGGGTTTGGTCCAATTGTGCCAGTGCAAGTGATTCAATCCTGAATTGTGGCTTCAGCAGGAGGGAGTCCCTCTCCTTCTTCATGTTTTCCCCAGAGGAAAGGGAGGCAGCCTACGTCCCTGAAGTCTCCTGGCTGCTGAATGGACTCAGGAGGCTGACAGGGGACAGCCCAGATGTCCACAATCTTGCGCAGGGTAGAACAGCGCTCCTCCAGCTCTGGGCCCTCGGTCTGCATTAGCAAGTTTGCCAGCTCTCTGCTTAGGTCCTGAATCATATTGTTCCGACCTTGCTTTTCAGGCTGGTCTGTGTGTGGGATCACACCACGGTCCTGGAGCTCCCCATTGGGCCCCAGGAGGTGCTGATACTTCTTCTGCCACCGTCTGCACACCATGGCTTCACCCACAGGTTGCTGGCTGGTATGCAGCAGCGCCAAAATGTGCCGGCAAGGCAGGTGGTACCATCGCTGAAAGGAACAGCTGCAGCTACAACCATCTTTGCTAACTTGGTGAGAGTCCTCTAGCAGCTGAACATCCACCGAGGGTCCGGCCATGCCCACCAGATGGGTGGAATTCTGTACCACCTCCCACTCTTTGTTGCACAACTTATAGGCCAGTTCAGAGCCACTTTGGTTTAAGGTGTCTAGCATGTCACCCAGGGAGGGCTGCTGCTGCAACTGAACTTGCTGCGAGTCTGGCTTCGTCTCTTCCACAGAGAGCCCATTAAGGCTCCCTCCACAGATTCCAAAAGGCTTCTTGGCCTTTGGTGGCATGCTTGGAGGCCGAGTTCTCTTTAACTTGGGAGGAGCTGTGGGTAAATTCTTCAAGCCCTTAGTATTGAAGAAGTCTATGTAATCCACAAAGCGGAGGATGCAGTCCAGCAGGGACTGCTGTTCCCGAAAGAGGCTTGACACCTTGCTGGTGACTATGTCTAGGCTGTCCATGTAGGTATTACACGCATGCAGGCCCTTCCTTACGTGCATGTACCACAGCAGTTCACAGGAGAACCAGTGGGCCTGTAGGAAGCTGAAGAGATCCTCGTCTAGCAGAGTTTGGGACATCTGACAAAGATTTTTAAGGCTGGCTTCAGAAGTGACAAACACAGCCTCCCGCAGGGCTTCCTTCATGAGTCTTTTAAAGGATGGATTTGCTGAACTACGATGTAACTTCTTCTCCAAGAGCCGGGTTGTGTGGTAGATGGAAAGAAGGATGCGGGCAGCGGGGAAGATCTCCTGCAGAATGGGCCGGTGAGGGAATGAAGGGTCCACAAAGACCACCTTGACCTTGGGCCAATCAGAGTTAAACTCTGTGAAGATGCTCAGCATCTTGGCGACAGAGGTGGCTGTCTCAGTCTTGAGCACAGCAAAGTGGACCACTCGACCTTCTCGTTCCTTGTTCTCCACCAAGAAAGCATAGAGGATGTGGCCCTGGGTATTCTCCACCCGGTGCAGCAAGAGATTCTCTGGGAATCGGATGAACAGGTCACTCATCTTGCTGCTCTGGAAGCTCAGCCGGTCCAAGTCTCGGCTGGTGCCCACACTGAAGGAAGCCATGGAACCCTTATCTACCTTAAGAAAGTTTTTCATCACTTTTGCTATCTTAGCCAGATCAGAAGGAGTGATGCCTTCCTGCTCTGGTTTTGAGGGCACTTGTACATCACTTAGACAAAACGATGGTTCTACTGGGGACTTCTCAGCTTTATCAAAGTCCTTCTTGAATGTGGGCAGCACAGGCTGGAGTTTCTGCAGACACAGTGTCCTTTGAGATTTGCAAACGGTGTCTCCTCCAGGAATAGCGGTTTTGGAATCAACGTGTACGTGGTGGGTGTTAAGTTCACTGATAAATAGTCTATCTAGTCTCTCGTTGTACCTCAGGAGCAAATATGCTGGGCACATGTCCGCCTCCCGTGTTCTCTTCCTGTTTGACTGGGTCCGAATACAGACAAATTTCACCTGCACGTATCACAATGCTATTCCTTCTGCAGATATGATGAATGATTCATGGACCACCAGTGTGTGGGATGGGTTACACCCCTGCCTCCCCAGGGAGGGACCCAGCCTGTAATCCCAACTACTTGAGAAGCTGTGAGGCAGGAGGACATCAAGTTTGAGGCCAATCTGGGCAACTTAGTGAGACCAGGATGTCCTCGCGGATGGAGGTGCCGTGGTTGAGGTTGTGGAAGCGGACGGAGACGCAGTCCCTGAGAATGAAGGAGCACCTGTTCTCCTTTTTGTAGGCGCTGAAGCACTCCTTGAAGTCCTCGTAGGTCTTGAAGCAGCTGCCCAGCTCCATGGCTGTCCCTTCGGCCCACGCCAGGGACTGGTCCTCGCTGGGTCCAAGATCACACCAAGGGTCAGAGGTCACATTGAGTGTTCACAGGCTGGCATGGGCCCAGGACTCCTTAAGGGGCGACCCAACCTGGTGGCCTAATACGAAACTCAAGAGGCTCCCGAGGTAGGACCTAGCTATTTGAGGCTGGGGGCGTCTTTGCTATCTGACTCAACTTAATGAAATTTTTAAAATACAGAAAAAAAATGTGTTAGTTAAACTAAAAGTAAGCTGTATGCTACTCCATTCTTTTAACTCTAAGGATGAACAATCACATATTGTTTATGAAGGTTTATACAAAAGACAATGGAATTTTATGTTTCATAGGAAACAGCTCTACTATACGCCTTTGATCCAATAATATATAACAACTCATAGGTATCCTTATTGCCTGCACTACTGGCCTGATACCTTGCCCCCAGGCTCTTCTCCCTTTCATTCCATTCCAACCCACATCTCCAGATAACAAACTGTTTTTTTCCTTCAGTGCTAGGGATGATCCCAGGAGCTTGCAAATGCTAGGCAAGTGGTGCAGCACTGAGGGATGGCCCCAGCCCAGACTGTTTTATGGTCTAGTAAAAAGCCATCAGAAATGTCTAAGCACAGCAAAGGAATATGGTATTTCCAACTGGATTTTAAGAAACCTACAGGCTAAAATCCTTATATTGATATATCAAAGCTCTCTAGAAGCCAGTGGTTAAAGATCCAGAGTCTAGAATTAAATTTCTGGGGCTTGGGGCTGGGGATGTGGCTCAAGCTGTAGCGCGCTCGCCTGGCATGCGTGCGGCCTGGGTTCAATCCTCAGCACCACATACAAACAAAGATGTTATGTCCGCCGAGAACTAAAAAATAAATATTAAAAAATTCTCTCTCTCTCTCTCTCTCTCTCTCCCCTCTTTAAAAAAAAAAAAAAATTTCTGGGGCTTCATTCTTGGCTCCACTATGTACTAAACTCTGTGATCTTAGGCAAGTTACCCAACTTTTCTGTGATCAAATTTCTTGTGTGTAAACAGTATAAGATAATACACATAAATATAATTGACATAAAATAAATGCTCAAAAAATGTTCACTATTATATTTTCATTAAGACTATTTCTTCCACCTTTCTCTTCACTACTTATGTCTGGAGAAACTATTTGGTTTCTGAACACAAATTGTGATTCCTTGCCTCCTCATTTGCACTGCTGTTTCTCATGCTTGCTTATGCTTTTCCCTCCTTGGAATGGTCTTTCCTCCTCTTCCATAAATTAGAACCCTCCTCCTCCAGCAAGAAGATTGTAGCATGAAATCCCTGAAACATTCCTCAAATCCTCTCTGATAGAAATGATCTCACCTTCGGGCTGGGGTTGTGGCTAAGTGGTAGAGCTCAACCTAGCATGATCAAGGCCCTGGGTTCGATCCTCAGCACCACATAAAAATAAGTAAGTACAATAAAGGTATTGTGTCCAACTACAACTAAAAAATAAATTAAAAAAAAAAAAAAAAAAAGAAATGATCTCACCTTCCTTTAACTTCAACAGTATCACTTTCATAGAACATCATTAGATTTTATAATTAACTGTATACTTTTCTAAACTACTGTACAATCGATCCATAGTGCCCAAAACACAAACATATTCAGTCAACCTTCAAAAACTAAAAACACAAAGAAAATGGAACATAATATTCCTTCTTCAGAATGAGTTAAACTATAAACCAATAACACTAATGAAATTAATGTGAAAAATTGATAAAATAGTATAAAATCATTAAAATATTTCTTTTAGCTGAATGTGGTGGTGCATGCCTATAATCCCAGCTACTAAAGAGGCTAAGGTAGGAGGACTGCAAGTTCCAGGCCAGCCTGGGTAACTTGGCAAGACCTGTCTTGAAATAAAATTCTTTAAAAAGGGCTAGGTGGAGGGGCTGGGGATGTGGCTCAAGCAGTAGCGCGCTCGCCTGGCATGCGTGCGGCCCGGGTTCGATCCTCAGCACCACATACAAACAAAGATGTTGTGTCCGCCGAAAACTAAGAAATAAATATAAAAAAAAAAAAAAAAAAAAAAAGGGCTAGGTGGGGGCTGGGGATGTGGCTCAAGTGGTAGCGCGCTCGCCTGGCATGCGTGCGGCCTGGGTTCGATCCTCAGCACCACATACAAACAAAGATGTTGTGTCCGCGGAAAACTAAAAAATAAAAATATTAAAAAAAAAAAAAGGGCTAGGTATGTAGCTCAGGGGTACTGTACTCCTAGCATGTGTGAGGCCATAGGTTCCATTCCTAGTACCACAACACAAACAACAATAAAAAAACTCTTTTGCATCCATAATATATTAAAAATGAAAGATGACTTAAGACTCAAAAAATTAAACAAGGAGCCAAAATTAACAAATTTATTTATTTTTGGGTGCTGTGAATGGAACCCAGGGTTTTATGCATGCTAGAAAGGTCCTCTACTACTGGGCTACAGCTACAGCCTACATTAATTAATTGAAACATATATTTATGGGCTGCGGCTGTAGTTCAGTGTTAGAGTGCTTGCCTAGCACATGTGAGGCACTGGGTTTGATCCTCGGCATCACATAAAAATAAGTAAAATAAAGGTATTAGGTCCATCTACAACTAAAAATATTTTTTAAAAAAACATATTAAATGCTTTCATATGCAAAGCATTGTTATAGGCACTTGGATTCAAATATAAACTGTACAATCCTTGACCTAAAGGTAATGAAGGGCAAATAAATCCAATAATTATTATAATAAAATAAATAAAGATCACAGAAGGAGGGTACTTAAGTTAAAGAAACACAATAAGGAGATGCTCCAGGGAGGTGATATTTGAGAAAAAATCTGAAAGAATTAATATCTCTAAATTTAAATGCAACAGACAACATGAAAAGTACAAAATCAGAGATATGAAGCACTGCAGTAATCTGTAGAAGTAGACATTAAGAACCGCTGGCTTCCAGAAATGGAATGGTAGCTTAACATCATCTCCCTGCAGAGAACACATTATAAAATAGGGACAAAATATTTTTTAAAAATACTATTTGAAAGTACTGAAACAAACAAAAATAACCAAAACCCAAACAAACAACTAAAAACCAGACATAACTTAGAAAAATCCACCCTTGGAATACAGAAATAATATCTCTGAGATTTGTCGGAAAGCACTTCACATTCTGTGTCTCTTGGAGTGGCAAAAAAGGCAGAGCTTTACTGGCTTGTGTGTTAGACTTAGAGCAAAGTGTTCAGAGACTACAGCACTGGAAAGTTAGAAAAAGTTTTGAAAGCAATGAGAGAAAAACAACACATTCTATACAGGAGGGGAAGAGAAATACAAATGGTATTGACTTATTGTCAAGAACAATGGAGACGAGAAGACAATGAAACAATTGTTAAAGGGCTAAAGGACAGATTGAACATATAAATCTATAGCCAATGAAACAGCAAAAACGAAAAGAAAGCTAGTCATTGAGGGATATACCTATAATCCCAGCTACTCAGGAGATTAAAGGGAAAAGGAATGCAAATTTGAGGCCTACCATCACAACATAGCAAGACCCCAAATTAAAAAAAAAAAAAAAAAAGTGAAGGGGAATTCAGACAATTCAGAAAAATGCAAATAGAAAATTCATCACCAGCAGACATATATTACAGAAAACATTAAAGGAAGTTCTTCACAGTATTTGTTAATGGAAATGATAGTAGATGTTAACATGTTCTGGAGGAAGGAATAAGGCCACTGGAAATGTTAAATATACAAGAGACATAAAAGACTACTAAGCAGAAGGGTTAATAGCAGAAATGAGACTGTTCTTTATAAAGGCCTGCTTGCAAAATTGACCTTCCACTAGCATCTGGGAACTTGAATGGCAAGCAGTTCTCTATGCTGATCTAAAACTTCCTTAAATGATAAGGGTGGTTCTCTCTAATTAAAGTGCTTGTACACAAAAGTGGTGAACAATTCCTCATTTCCAGGAGTCTGAAATTTCGGTGGCTAAAATAATCTCTACATAATCATCCCTACATAACCAACCTCCAATAAAATCCCTGGACCCCAAGGCTCAGATGAACTTTACTGGTAGTGAGCACTTTGTGCATAATGATAGAATTCACTGCTGAAAGAATTAAGCACAGCCTATGTGAACCTACTTGGAGAGGACTTTAAAACTCTTTGCTGGTTTACTCCAGTCTTTGAATCATAATCCTTTATGCTTGGCTGATTTTGCTTTACATTCTTTCACTGAAATAAATCTTAAATGTGAACATGATTTTATGCTGAGTCCAGTGAGCACATCACCAAATCTGCAGTGGTCTTAGGAACCTCAATGCAATTATACACATATTTCTTATATTTTCAATTCTTTACAGGTATAAAAATATTTAAAGGAAAAAATATAAAGTTGTAATCATGTAGTTACAACAACATAAAAAAAATCTGTAATAACATAAAAATAAATAAATAAAATAAAGAGATTGTGTCCAGTTAAAACTAAAAAATGAATATTAAAATTTTTTTAAAATGATATTTATAATATATATATAGTTACAATAATATCAGAAAGATTAGGGATTAAGCCAGGCATGGTGGCACAGGCCTGTAATCCAAGAGACTCAGGAGACTGAGGCAGAAGAATCACAAATTCAAAGCCAGCAGTGAGGCTCTAAGCAACTTAATAAAACCCTATCTCAAAACAAAAATTAAAAAGGGCTGGGGATGTGGCTTAGTAGTTAAATGCCACAAGGTTCAATTGCTAGTACTGAAGAGGAAGAGGAAGAAGAAGAAAAAGAAGAGACAAGAATATGTCAAGTTTGAGGCCAGCCTTGGAAACTCAGCGAGATATTATGTCAAAATAAAAAATGAAAAAGGACTAGGGAAGTAGCTCAGGGATAGAATGCTCTGGGTTTAATCCCTAGTATCATACACACAAAAAAAAAGACAAAAATATTACTTAAAATGCATAAGCACACACATACACAAATAAATGCAAAAATAAATGCAAAAGGATGGAAAGATATATCAGTCAACTTTAATCATAAACAAGCTGAAATGGGTATAGTTAATATCAGATAAAATGATAAAGGGCCACATCAAAAGACATAAAAAATTATAAATGTGAATGCATGTAATTAAAGGAGATTAAAAAATTATGAAGCAAAACTGACAGAACTAAAGAAAGAAACAAATCTATAATCTTAAAGATTAAA